CTCCCGGGGGGAAGCCCCCAAACCCACCTCGCTTCTCCCCCCGCCCTCCCCCGGCTTCGGGTGGCAGCGAGCCGCTAATGCCGCGGAGCTGCCCTGCTCCCCGCGCCTCTCTGGGCCCTTCCTTCCCCAAATGACTGAAAACGGGACTTGAAACTATTCTGAGCTTGTTTTCCAAAGCACGCAGACGTACCAGTGCTGACTGTGGTCACTCAGTACACTGCCCCCTCCTCCCCCGTCTGAAGTGCCTCTCTGGGCAGTAACGCGTGCTGGCGTGTTGAGCAATGACGGTTCTCAGACTGGGTTTCTTCCCTTGTAGCATCTGGGGAGGATGGAAGCATGGTGCAGCTGCCCGGGGGGTCGTTTCAGATGGGATCCGATTCCCTGGAGAAGAGGAATGACGAGGGGCCCGTCAGGGAGGTGACGGTGAAGCCGTTTGCTCTCGACAAGTACCCCGTCACCAACAGGGATTTCAGGTAGGGGGAAGCTCTGGTTGGCAGGGGCTGGGGGCTCGGCTGCTGCGGGGACACTGGGGGGGTTGTGCCAGGTCTTGTGGGGCTAGGGCATGAAAGCCAACGCTTCGATGCTCCCAGCACCTTCATTAGAACAAGAAGCCCTGGCTCTTAGTAATAAATCACCTCTGTGGGTGCCAGCTCAGGCATTGTACCAGTGTAGCTTGCAAACATGCTCCCTTCTTCTCCCCGTTTCCTCCCATCTCTTTTCCTCCATCTCTTTCCCCTTCCTCTCTTTCCCCCTCTTTTCTCCTCTAAAATGAGCTTATACTGTTTCAGATCTCAGGTTCCTATAGGTTCAATTTCCATTTGTAAATTCGGGACCATTCCTCCAGGTATTTTATAGAAGCCACTTACTATAGTGGCCACTTACTTCTTAGAAGTTGGGTTAAAAAGAGCCAATGCTTCCATCCAGCAGTAACTGCCTGGCAACACACAGTAAAGGCAATTACTGTAGCTCAGGCAGTGGGGAAACAAATGGCACAGAAGCAGGGTGAGATTATTCAGTAGTATGTGAGATTTTTTTGCCCTTGGGGGACACTTGACTAACAGCAGCCATAGTTTTTAGTGGCTTTTGAGGGATTTTTGATCTGTGCAATAGTTTACCTCCACAGGTAACATAAAGACTCTTGGATCTGTGATCATCAGACTGTTCCATCTGTTAAATCTATCTCTGACTGGTACATGCCGGGGAGGAGCTGGGGCTCTCTGCTCGTGGGGTGTCTTGCTCTGAGCTAGTTGCATGTGCAGAGCTCTGTATTGGGTGGTGTGACTCCTGAAGAACTCTTACCTTGACCCCTGAGTGTGTTGTATTTGTGCCAGGGATTTTGTTAGAGAAAAGAAATACAAAACAGAAGCGGAAGCATTTGGCTGGAGCTTTGTCTTTGAGGATTTTGTATCCGAAGAGCTGAAGAAAAAAGTCACCCAAAAACTGGAGGTAAATCTAAATCCCATGAGTTTTGGTGATAGAGATAGTGTTTCTGATCACACCCCTGCCTGACCTCTCTGGTTTAACCAAAAACAACTGAGGAGGGGAGGCCTTTTCCTCCTGAGTAGCAGCTGCCTCTCAGGGCACAGCCTGGCCAGTCGTGATGGTTTTTCTTTAGTTGTGGCTTGGTTTGCATTTGAAACTAAGAGCAGAGCTGAGCCTGGGTTGATTTATGGCACTCCTCCATTTACATCCTCTCCAAACATTCTCAGCCTGGACTCATGAGATGCTCCAGTGAGGTGGGAGAAAGCAAAGTGTGTTTCAAAGTACTTTATTAATCAAACCATAACATAGAAAAACTAACCAGCATGGACTTACTGCTCTATTTTCACTTCTAAAAGCAGACACCCCTACTTCTGATCATGAAAGCACTGTCAAAATGCCCATGATAGCCCAGCCCAGGCTGCAGCATTTCACCATTTCGACTGCCAAGTGCTATTCTTTACACACGCGGCTGCAGGACGGTGCTCGGGGAGGTGTCCCCAGTTCAGCTTTAATCTGGTGTGGTTTCTTTCCCCAGTCTGCCCCTTGGTGGCTGCCCATCCAGAAGGCGTTCTGGCGACAGGTGGGTGAGTCCTCCCCGTGCTGGAGGCGTGCACGTGTGAGTGAGTGCTGAGCCTTAGCCACCCAAAACGGGCAAAAAGCACTGCGTGCTCCCTGCCTTGGTCTGTGCTGTCCTTTGTGCACGTGTGAGTGAGCGCTGAGCCTTAGCCACCCGAAACGGGCAAAAAGCAGCATCTCCAGGCACTGCACGCTCCCTGCCTTGGTCTGTGCTGTCCTTTATTCCCTTTTTAACTCAAAAGCTTGTAAAATCAATTAAAATCTGATGCGATTCCTCCCAGCCCTCGGGGCCTGGCTCCAGCATAAAGGACAGGCTGGAGTACCCGGTGCTGCACGTCAGCTGGAACGACGCGCGGGCCTTCTGTGCCTGGAGGGGGAAGCGGCTCCCGGCGGAGGAGGAGTGGGAGTTTGCTGCCAGGGGAGGACTGCAGCGTACGTACCACAGGCTCTGACCTTCTGCCAAACAGGGCCATAGAGTAATGGTAGTTCTGCCAGATCCAAACCTCCATTCGGGGACGTTTTCAGATGTTAATCTTGGGGCATGAGCCACTTCTGTTGGCCTGGGAGTTGAATGAGTAATAATAATGCAGGAAGCGGTTTATCTTCTGTTCTTAATGGATCTTCCTACACAAAGCACTTGTTCCAGCTAGAGCCAGCACTGCAGGGGTCTGGGGCAAGGAGTGACCCCCTGCTCCTCTACATTGATGCTGGCAGGACACAGCCCCTGGGATCAGTGGGGGGACTCCCTGGTGCGAGCGATGGTTTGTAAATGGGAAGCTGTTGCTCATTCCCATCTCTCCTGGCCTCTTTGGCCATGTCTGTAGGATCAGACCAGCAAGCCCCATTCACATAAACCCTCTCAGTGTCCTGAGCTGAGCAGAAAAGGACACTCACAAAAAAATGGTTAAAAACAGGGGAAGGCAGAAGTTGGAGTGACACAAGAGCAACCGGCATCTCTTCCTCCTTGGCAGGAAGGGTGTATCCCTGGGGAAACAAGTTTCAGCTGAACCGTACAAACCTGTGGCAGGTAAGAGCCTAAAAATCATCCCATCTGTGCTGAGCTCTTCTGAGAGTGGTGTTTAACTGAAGCACAGAGTGCGTGGCTGCCCGAGCAGGCTGTGAGATCCTGGGAAGCAATGCAGCCTTACCTGCAGGGTACCAAAATTCAGCTCCTGGTGGGTTATCCAAAATACCCTTAGAAGGAGCAGACTCAGCCCAGCTTCCCTGGGAAACTGGGATTTCAGTGCCTCCAAAAATTCATACATAAATTTGTTGGAAAAGGGGGTTGTCCTGGGAGAACTTTAGGTGGTTGGTCTCCTCTCTTGGCCAGAAATGCTGCATGAAGTTAATTTGCAACGGTGAGTTCTTCCCATTATTTGAGTGTGAGGGGGTCCTGTGAGGAGCAGGGCTTCGAGTCGTCTCCGCAGCGGGTCTGTGCTCAGAGTGATCCCTTCCCACAGGGTGACTTCCCGAGGGTCGACACGGCCGAGGACGGGTATCACGGGGTCTCTCCAGTGGCAGCCTTCCCTCCTCAGAACAACTACGGTACGGAGCTGGCATCCCTGCCCTGGCCTGGGGCATGGCACCTGCTTCTTTAGTTAACACCAGTTATAAAATCCTGTAGCTGTGGCAGTTTCAGAGCAGAAGTGGGATCACGTCAGCATCCTGATGGAATAACCGAGCCCAACAAAAGGGTTGATGGTTGTTCCTGAAGTTGGCTGACGTGCTCCTGGTGCGCTCCAGTGCATCAAACCATGCCCTGATTTTAATTACAAGTCAGTTATTTTGCCCTTCGGTGTGATTTACCCAAAAATCCTGAGCACATTGTCTTGTTCCCTCATGCAGATGGGAAATTGAGACACATTAAAGGTTCAATTTTAAACAGGAGCCACTTTGCAATACAGTGAAGAGCTTCTGGTTCCCAGTCTCACCACTGAACCCCGCTCTTGCAGCGATGCTTTGAACGCTGCGCCCCCTCCCACACCCCAAAGTGCTGTTGCAGCCCCTGCGAGCACGCCCTGGTAATCCTGATGGGAAACCCTCCGTGTCCCAGGGCTCTACGACCTGCTGGGGAACACCTGGGAGTGGACGGCGAGCGAGTACCTGCCGGCGGGGCGGCCTGCGGGGCAGCGAGCTCCCGGCATGCGGGTCCTGAGGGGCGCCTCCTGGATCGACACTGCCGACGGCTCTGCCAACCACAGGGCTCGGGTCACCACCAGGTGGGTCTGGGCAATGCCCCGCCGCTGCTCCGCAGCCCTCCTGCCAGCTTGGCTGCATTTGGAAGGGGGGTTTATTTTAAAAGAGATTTGTTTGTCCCTACTCAGTTTTTTTTCTGAGAAGAAGTTAGGAAAACATGCTAAGAATACTGCTAAAAATTGTCCTGCTGTAAATATGTTCCTAATTGCTTCTCAGGTCGGGTGTATTTTCCATCAAGTGTTGAGAAGTAAATGCTTTTCTTGAAGTTATTCAAGGGAAATAGAAGAGATTTCTGGTGTGTTAGAGGGTCATGTTAATTGATGGAAGCATTAACTAGGAAGGATCCCTAATTTTGGGTCTCTTTTTTCCCTGTGAGAATGGGGAACACGCCAGACTCAGCCTCTGACAACCTCAGCTTCCGCTGCGCTGCCGACGTCCCGCCCGTCACAGCCAAGAAAAGCCAGGCCAAACCCGAGCTCTGAGGACCTGGAGGCATTTTCTCCTGTGGAGACAAACAGTAACCCCCAGCAGTCACTTTCATTAAACCCAGACAGTTGTAGAAATTAAAAATAAATACTTTCAGCTACAGGTCCTTTCTGCTCTGGGGCGTCTGGGCGTGAGCAGTGATTGGGGATGGCAGGAAGGGTGGATTGTCTTTCATGTCCTTTTGGTGTTGTAGGTACTACAGCTCTCCGTTTGGTGTCCATTTGAAATAAGCAGAGGGGAGCACGTGTGCAGGCCTGGGACAGAGCTGCGCAGACCTCCACTCAGGGTGAGCCAACACTCACAGCCCCCCCATGACCGCCGTTGTGGGGCGGCTTCAGCATGGGGAGTGACAGAGGCACATCCCTGGAAGAAGGGCTCATATATCTGTCCCCATCTCCTTGGGGATCCCCAGCTTTGTACCAGCCTATGAGCCTTCCCAGAAGTGAAACAAGGCGCCTTTATTCACCCTTAAAGGTGGCAAAACCACTCGCCCCATGGTTTCTAAGCGCACAGATGACACAAACCAGTGGCCCAGGTGTTACAGCCAGTGTAAGGGCTACAAAGGGGCTGTGCAGGAGTTCTGCCACCAAAGCCCTGAGCACACGGGTGGGTGAAAACATCCCTCTGGGGATGCTCACCCCTCCTCCACCAGTGACTGCCCTGAAAGGGTCCAGGGCTGAGCTGAGCCTTGCCCAAGCAGATCTGCTCTGAGTACACCGGGAGCTGCAGCTCATTACAGCTCCATTAGAGGTGTCTTCTCCAAACCCATCCCTTGGAGCAGGACGTACCCCAGGGACAAACTGCAGCTGTCCTGCCCCTGACCCGAGCCCGGCCGTGTCTCTAAGGAAAGGCGAAAGAAATCACTGGTCGTTTTCAAAGCTTTTACTCGCCTTAACTCTGAGCAAACTTACTGGCTTGGGCAGCAAGGATCAGAAGAGCTCTTCCTCGGCTGCCAAGGTCAGCAAGATGGCCTTGCAGGTGTTCTCGAAGAGGGCAGCCCTGTTCTGTGCCTCCCCCTTCTTCACCCAGTGCCGGTAGGTCCTGAAGGCGCAGGCGTCGATCAGCTTGCGGACGGGCTTCAGGGCGTAGGGGTCCCGCACCACCAGCTCCCTGGTGACCGACTTGACCAGCCGGTACTGGTAGTAGATGCGCACTGAGGCCAGCACGGTCAGGCAGATCACCTGCAGCACGGGGAGGGGACATGTGGTTAGTCCTGCAGTGGGACTGGAGCGGCCCCACGGTGTCCCACGTGGCTGCTCTCCTGCAGAGGAGTTGGGAGGGAGCCCAGCTCCTGTCACAGCCATTCAGTCCCGTGAGTGGTACAGGCTTTCCCCAAGGGTGCCCTTAATGTCAAAATTGTAGGTCAGTCCTAAATGTGTCACCTCGTGCCACTTCAGATACCTCTGAGCTGGCCGTGCTTGGAGAAGGGTCTCCACTCAGGCTGCCACATCCTGGCAAGGACCAGGCCCACCACCCTTGCTGAACTCCCCGTTTCTCCCAGCTCAGCTGGGGAATCCCTCCCCCCGTCTGGCTCCCACAGCTCCCAGACTCAGGGTCGGGGCACTGAGACACCCCCACACCCACCTTGAACTTGCGGAAGGGGCTGAAGTGCCGGACCTCCTCCACGTCGTACTGCTGGAAGAAGGGGTGGGCGAGCGCCTCGCTGGCCGTGTACCGCTGCCGCGGGTCCACCACCAGGAACCGGGAGATCTGCGGGAGGACACCCATCAACCCGGGGTACCCCAGGCGTCTGCAGCCCCCCCCCGGCGCTCCCCCATCCGCCAGCACCTACCAGGTCCTTGACGGTGTCCGAGCGGTCGTCCCACTCCGGGGAGCCGAACTGGTAGTCCCCGTTCATGATCATCCTCAGCATCAGCATCTGCTTGCGGTGCCAGAAGGGGGGCGAGCCGGCCAGCAGGGTGTACATGATCACCCCCGTGCTCCACCTGCGGGCAGCCCAGCAGCACCCTGCAGCCCCAGGCAGCACCCCAGGGGCACCCGGTGGGATCTGCGCCCCGAGGGTGGCTCGGCCCCTCCCCGCCACCGGGACGTGCTGGGCTAGGTGGGGATTTGCCTCCTTGGAAACCCAGGAGGACGCTGCCCTGTGTGGGGTCTGATGAGGACGGCTGAGCTCGCTGCTGGGGCTCGTTGGCCTTGGTGCGTACTAATACTAAGAAGCAGGGGCTGCTGGGGAGGGGGTTTGGGGTTGTGGAGTTGAACTGATGTGGAGCTGCTCTCCTGGATGCTGCAGGAGGAAGCTGTCAGTTGAAGGTATTTGCCTTTCTTGTTTTTTTCTTGGTGTTTTTAGGGGAGGGAGAGGATGTGTGAAGGCAGGATATGGTGGTGCCAGC